GATTGGCAGAAATGGGTTTCAAAATTGGCCCCCCAGATCTCCGGACTTAACTCCACTAGATTTCTTTTTGTGGGGTAGATAAAAGGAATTGTCTACCATACGCTTCCGGCAACTTCACACGATATGAAAACACGCATAAGAGACGCTTTTAAAACTGTAACTCCGCAAATGTTGTCCAGAGTTAGCAGTGGTTTTGTAAAAAGAATTTACAGAAAAGTGCCTGGAAATGGACGGTCAACATTTCGAACATGTGTTACAAATAATTTGCCTTTGTTTTATGTTATTGTTGATATGTTATGTAACCTTTTAATTAAAAAAAAACACCAAATGGGCACAGAACCATTGTTCGCTGTATTTTGTAAAAAGGCAAAAACTTAGTTATCAACATCCTAGTACCATTCGATAGGTAATTAAAAATTGCATTTCCTGGTAAGCCAAAAAATATGGGGTTGTATTTAAATTAATCAAGTTATAGCCACTTAAAGTTCGTATTTGATTAGTTTAAATTTGTGGACACCCTGCATAAAATGGTAAGTTTGTTATCATTGGGATATAAAATTTGATTTCTTGTTTCCCTACACTACTACTAAAATAATATTAGATTTTGATAAAATTCGAATTATTTAAAAAACCTTTAGAATTAGACATTATAAATCTTATTAAAAGAAACACTTATTTTGATCAGAGAATCCAAAAATGCAATAATCTATAGGATATTTCATTTAGAAAAACACAACTTTGATATTTACAAAAAGCAAATGGGCTAGCCGCAAACGTCCGTGCCGCATAGCGTGCATAACCCTGTATATTAAATGGTTCATTTTGCCGTTTTCAAAAACCCCGAAACAAAATTCCCGATTGAAAGAATGAAACTTACGTCTTGGATCATTTGTAAGTTTCATTTTGTCCAAAGTCGGTGCCATTCGGTCATTGTAGATCAGCACGCCGCCAGCTCCGCTCTTAAACGCGTTGTCCACTTTCACGTCAAAGTTGCATTTTCCGCGCTTGATCAGAGCGATCCATGGAGTGCCTGGAACAAAAGTTCTGGAAATTCAACGAGGAAAACTGCATAATGAGTGGGACAGTGTGGGGAAAACAACGACTCTACCTGAATGGGGAAGTTTCCCATCCGATCTGGAGCTGTCGTACGGATAGATGCAGCCGAAATGATCGGCCTGGTCGTGTTTGGATGTGACATGGACCAGCAGGCCGTAGGCAGGACCTGGAAAGGAAATTTTCCGATAGAACAGTTTGCAACGTTGTCTGGTGCCATAAGCAATTTCACACCTGCAGGAAGTCTCAAATAATTCCGATCCATTGCTGTTTACAAATAATAATGCTTGGCTACGTGCACAACATTTTAATTTTCAACGGCCAGCAGGTTGATTCCGACTTGTTTCGCATTACGATGTCTGAAGCCGATGCATATCCGGAATAGGATGCGCATTTTATCCCATCACATGTGCGGGGTTTTCCGCTATTTTGAAATCCGCAAAATCTTTCGCAGATTGTCATGGTTTAATGATCGGTTTGGGTAACATTAATCAAGACGCTCCCATTTATTTGAAGAACAACGCACTTTGCACAATAAATAAACATCAACGCTATGAATGCGAAGTTCTACAACCGTTAATCTTCAGCATTGTCGTGCAAGTAAACGGGTTAATGATTCCTATCCTATCTCACTTACTTGCACAACTTTGGGCCGAACCCCCGTAGCGCGTCGACCCTATTTGAACTGATCGCGGATCAGTCGGTTCTCTCCGATAATGCGGGTGCGAGCGAGAGACACATCGTCATCACCTTGGCAACGGATTGGCCTTGATTCGTTTCGCCGATTTACGAGGGGTGATCCCGAGCTGAATTATTTTTGCGATGGTTTGCTCTTACCAATGTAACTTCCTCCATATCTTCCAACGTCCGTCTTGTCCCATTTCCAGCCATGATCAGTCTTGAAGGTGACGTTCAAATAGGCCGAAATGAACGTGTTGTCTTCCCCATTCAAGTTGAAATTTAACGAGTTCGGCACCCAATCTTCGGGTGTGGCATCTGAAGCAGACGGTTCGACGAAGTAAAGCAGTAGAAGAAGAAAACTCGTTGATCTGCCAAACAGTTTCGCCAGCGATTCCGAACCGAACATTGTTGTGGAGTGACTTTTCCAGTTGATGTAGAACACTGAAAAATGGAGTCAAAATTTAGAAAAACTCTGATTTAGAGTGCGATAATTAATCTATAATCTTTCGGGTTTGTCTACAACCTTCATTTAAAAGATTTGTATGTGAGGTTTTTTTTTCAATGGGAAACTACAAATCTACCAGTTCCAGCCAATCTGTCTTCGAGCGCAACATTCTACTGCAATCTGTTATTTAAAAAATAACGTTTTTCCGGGCTGTGTCTATAAGTTTACCGGCGTATTTCCCATTAATCATCCTGATTGATTAGGGTATTTAATGAGGCCTACACTTTAATGAGATGATAAAAACAGGCTTAATTGGGTTTCCAATCAAACACTTTCCGCATAGACTGGAAATGCTACTTTGCCAATAT